AGTATGACAATGTAGCTTTGTTTTTGCTTTTTCTTTTTGAGACAGGGTCTTGCTATGCAGTTCAGCCTGGCCTTGAGCTCACTTTGTAGCCCAGGCTGGTCTCAAACTCGAAATGATCCTTCTGCCTCAGCTTCTTGAGTGCTGGGATTACAAGCATGTGCCACCATACCCTGCACACCACCACGCCCAGCAACAATGCATCTTTTATTGTAATAAACTTGCTTTAATTTAAAAACACCATATACTGATTATAGATTGTATTTTATAGAATACAAACTTAAAAAAATTACCTTTTTCCTTTTTTCTGTGGTGCTGGAGAATCAAACCCTGGGCTTTACACATGCTAGGCTGGCACTTAGGCACTGAGCTACATCTGTAGCCCCAGTCACATTTTTGTAATCTTTAATAACATGAAGAACCTAAAATATTTGGCCCAGGTTCGGCATGACAGTGGTGGTCACTGGGGAAGTGAGGAGAAGCTCCATTGTATAACAGGTTCCCTGGCTTTTATTCAGCAAGCCTGGGTAGAAATTGGGGGTGTGTGCTTTCCATAATCATCCCAAGGGATTTTTGTTTTTCTCTTTGTTTGTTTTTTGAGACAACATCTCTTTCTATAGCCCAGGCTGGCCTAGAACTCAAGGCAATCCTCCTGCCTCAGCCTCCTGAAGGCTGGGATCCCAGGAATGTTCCACCATACTGGGCTCCACTGCTCTTTCTTAAATGCATGTGACAGAGGAGAGAGAATGGAAAAAGTGCACCAGGGGCGGATGGCACAACTGTCCCTTGTGTCAGGAAGTGGAGGAACAAGGATGCTGTCTGCCATAGTGGTGATCGCCAGTTGGGGAGAGAACTTGACGCCCTCTGATCTCCACTCTTTCCTGCACCCTGCAGCACTGCCCAACCTCTCAGGAGATCCCAGCAGGAAATGCAGGGACAGAAGGAGCAGCCAGGGTGCTGCCATGGCCCCGGGTTCCTGCAGCCCATCTGTCTTTTCCTCCTGCCACTGCCACTGCAGGTTACGAGCGGCTGACAACAACTGTCCTGGTCCCTGCTGGTTTCCCCAACCTGCCCACCTCTTGGCAAACTGCTCTTCACATCCCCTTCATTACCCGGTGCAATCATCTCCTACTACAGCCCTGAAGGATTGCTGAACCCCAGGCAGACAGGAACGCTGGACACTCGCCAGATCCTAAGTGCTCCAGGGCCCAAGGCAGCGGACATGGCCCAGGGAGACTCAGGAAAAGATCAGCATTCGGGGTGAGGTGCATATAGGTGGGTGGACAAGGAGGGTTAGGAGTCTACTCTCCATAGCGGCACACACCACCAGTTCAAGGCCAGCTGGGCAACAGTGAGTTTAAGGCCAGCCCCAACTACCTGTCTCCAAACAAACAAACAAAAAAATAAGTTGACCTGGAACATTTCTATATTCCTTCAGTACCCGCTTGGAGTCTCAAAATCCTGCCGTACCAACAACGAATAACAACATAATTGTGTCCAATAATAGCTAATATTGTGACATCTTCTAGACTACACATCAACTCTTTTGGGCGGGCGTGGTACGAGGGATTGAACACAGAGCCTTCATTTACACTGAGCTACATCCCCAGCCCATCTTTAAATTTTTTAATCTTGAAATAGGGTCTCACTAAACTACTAAATTTCCCAGGCTGAGCTCCAGTGCTGAGATTGTGATATTAGTATGGGCAACCACGCCTGGCTATGTATCTACCCCTTTTCCTTCATGCAGCTCTCGCTTCATCCAACTTCTTCCTCAAAACTGACTCTCCACGTATTCAATTTAATCTTACCTGCCTAGGGAACATTATCCTGGCAATAAAGTCACCAGGAAAGCAAGGCCTAGAAAGAGAGGAAACATCAGAGGCTGGATCTTTCCTATCTGAAATCATCATGGAACTTCACTTGACTCTAGATTTTATATTTTTATTTAAACTTAAGGCCTCCTGAGCTCAGCTGGGTGTGGCGCTGCACGCCTGCAATCCCAGCATACAGGAGGCTGAAGCAGGAGGATCACTGAGAGTTCTAGGCCAGCCTGGGCTACATAGAGACCCTGTTCAAAAAAAGAAAAAAGAATAAATAAATAAACAAATTTAAGGCCTACTCAAAAATACCCTGGCCACCTCAAGGTTACCATGAAATTCTCAGTGAAGATTAAATCAACTAGCCTCTGCTGGCCCGCCCTGCATGGGCCATTCTAATGGCCCACACACCAGCAATTTCTACCATCTCCTAAATTCACTCACTCTAGTTTTTAAAAAGAAAGTTATTTTTATTGCCTTAAAGCCCTTTTGTCCTGACATCAAACAACTGCTTTTATAATTCCTTAAATTTTCAAAGCATTGTTAATTAGCACATACCAAATTAACATACTAACAAGTGATATTTTTTACACTTTTCATTTCCAGATTTGCCTTTTTCCCGTTGAATCATGCTTATTTGATTACAGCCAGTTATTGGGCTTTCTCCTACTTGACTCAATTATTCACAAGTTATAAAAGTTTGCTGTTTTGCTTGATTTTAAAATAATGGCTAAATGACCACTCATCACATTTTACAACCTGAGTTTTTCATTACAAAAGTAGCATCAAGGGGCCGGGGATATAGCTCAGTGGCAAAAGCACTTGCCTGGCAAGTGCAAGATCATGAGTTCAATTCCCAGTATCAAAACAACAACAACAACAAAAAACAAAAACAACAAAAGTAGCATCAAGGTGGGTGTGGTGGTACACCCCTATAATCCCAGGACTCAGAAGGCTGAGGCAGGAGAATGGCTGAATTCCAGGCCCACCTGGGCTACAAAGTGAGTTCAAGGCCAGTCTTAACTGCAAAGTAAAACCGTGTCTCAAAAAAGGCAAAAAGTAAAAAATTTTAAAAAGTGGCATCAATAAAAAAGTTCGGGGCTGGGGATTTAGCTCAGCGGTGCAAGCACGAGGTCGTGAGTTCGATTCCCGGTATCAGAAAAAAAAAAAGTTCTTAGGAGCTTCAGAAAAATCATTTATTATCACAATGAAAAAGTAAGGCTTGCCAGGCGTGGTGGCGCACGCCTGTAATTCTAGCACTTGGGAGGCTGTGGCAGCAGGATCGTTGTGAATTCGAGACCAGCTTGGGCTACAAAGCGAGCTCAAGGCCATCTTGAACTGCATAGCGAGACCCTGTATCAAAAAAGACAAAAAAAAAAAAAAAAAAGTAAGGCTTGTGTGTTACTAACCCCCTATTCTTAACCTTGCTTGGAATAGAAGGAGCAACACAAAATACTTCACAAATGACCACACAAGTGTGTGGCTGTACATGGCTATACAAATTTAGAGTAGTCACAAGCCAGGGTGATGGCACATGCCTGTAAGCTCAGCACTCGGGAGGCTGAGGCAAGCAGCATTACCACAAATTTGAGGTGGGACTGAGTTACACAGTGAGATCTTGTCTCAAAACAAACAAACAACAACAGCCGGGTGTGGTGGTGCACGCCTGTAATCCCAGCACTTGGGAGGCTGAGGCAGGAGGATCATTGCGAGTTCGAGACCAGCCTGGGCTACAAAAGTGCGCTCAAGGCCAGCCTGAACTGCGTAGAGAGACCCTGTCCCAAAAAGGCATTAAAAAAAAAAAAAAAAATCAACAAAACAAATTTAGCGTACTTCTAACAAAATCAAAATTGTCCAAGATTCTACATTAAGACCAGTAGCTGATAAAGCAGGAAAGTCAAAAGGATTTTACCTCCTGTCAACCACCCTTGATTCTCCTACTTATTTCAAATACAGGAAAGAACTTTCTCCAGATTGCTGAGATATGTAAATTAGTTCATTAGCATTAAATCAGTTTAAAATGATAAGCATTACATAAATGCCCAGACATCAGCTTAAAAATATTTCACCAGAATAGGGAGGGGCACAGGGACAGAGAAAGTAGGGTAAGAAGGAAACGTAACCTGTTTCTCTACGAGAAATGCAAAAGCCTAAGCTTGCGTCTCCCTTGCTTCTCATTAGCAAAAAAATTTTTCAACAGATCCCACCCCCCAGCGGCCGCACACCAGCAGCAACCTATTTAAGTCAGAGGTGTAATACATTCAAAGGTCAGAGGCTGCTGCAGTTTGGAAAACGGCAAGTCCTCTGGGGGTTCAGAAGCCCCCAAAGCCTTAAGTTTTGATCAACTTACCAATAAACAGAGGGGCCCATTTCATAAAATAAGCGAAAAATGGTTACTCCTGGGGCTTTACTGCACTTACACGGAACTCGTTGTGGGATACAGGTCCTTCCCTGTTAACTGAAAGTTAACCCTGAACTATGAGCAAGGAAGACAGACTTCCATAGCAGGACGAATATTACTCTTTGAGCAAGTTAGGTCTATTTTATTCAAAACGGTAAATAAAGCACAGAATAGTTAGTACGCTATGCGAGCTCTCAAGTCCTTTCCACGAACAGCAGTGTAGACACCGAGGAATCCTGCATCACACACGAAGTCCCTGAAGACAGCGGAGTCCGCTGAGGTCAGTGATCACCGTCCCCTACACACTGTAGGCACCCGCGCTCCACCTTCCACAAGGCTCCGCCAAACTGCCAAAGTCAATTAACTCCCTTGGCCTGGGGCAAGAGCATTTGCCTCCACAGCTTGGCAATGGCTTCCCTCAACCCTCGCTCTGGACAAACACTTGCAAACTTTCTTCGCTGAGCAACAATGGCGCTGCTTTCTCACCCAACAGTGTTAATTCCCAGTCCCCCTGAGGGCTACTAAGCAATCAGACTCGAGTGGCCTCGTTGAGATGCCACCCCCCACACATACAGAGTGTCAGATGCTTTCCGACGAGGACGGGCGCAGGGGACAGGGCGGCAGCTCCAGTCCACAATGCAGCCAACTTCAGCGGCCCCACATCCTGCGATCATGAACTCCCCTCCACTTTTCCTCCTCATCTCTGCCCTCCCCTCTCCCTCCTCCCCCACAGCCGCCTCCTCGCGTCTCCTGGGGACACCAACTGTCCCCAAGTGCAGCACCTCCGCAGCCCCTTGCACGCGTGTCCGGGACCCTTGGCCCCAGGCCCCGCAGCGCCGCCTGGGCATCGGGGCGCGTCCGGCCGGTGCCGTCGCGGGGCAGGGACTGCATGCTCGCGCGCACGTCGGTCCCAAGCTGTCGCCGGCGTAACCGCGATGGGGTGAGGGCGCCGGGGCCGGGGACAATGCCAGCCTCGCGCCCCTCGGTGCCGGCGCCGGGCAGAGCC